CTCAGAGGAGCAGTGAGGCTTTATTCCCACAAGCCTTGGCCTTCCCCAGGCGCCCGGCCCCCTCCAAGCCCCCCCAGCCCCGCGGGGGTCACTCCGGTTGGGGATGGGCAAACGACGACCTGCGGCTCACGGTGCCCTGCAGGAGGAACACACAAGGGGACGTTCAGGCACCAGGGGGCTTTGCAGCAGGGGCCTGCCCCGCTTGGTGGGCAGCCTCCCCAGCCTACCTCTATCTCACCAGGGACACCTCGTGCAGTTTCTGGAACTCAGACACGCCCTGGTGGCAGCGCCTCACAGCCATTACCACAGACCCGATGAGCAAAACGGACACCAGCAGACACACGGCCACCACCACGCCCGGGTTCCTGTGCAACTCGGGGGCCCCAGTGTCACCTGGAGCTGAGGGAAGGGCCCCAAGTCAGCCCTGGACCCCACCCTTCCCAAGGCTGAGACACCCACCAGGGCCCAGAGCCTTTCCAGTCCCTTCCCAGGAAGCCACGCTTACGTCCCTCTCCGGCGGCTGCTGTAACCTTTTCAAAGCACATTTTTATCCTTCTGCTTTTGAATGTATTTGTCTACAAGGAATTCATTCAGTTTGCTGTGTTTTCACCACCCTTGTTGGCTACTCTTGGGAGTTCTTGCAAAGTGAGAAAAATCTAATCGAGAACTCTGTTCCCAAGATGCAGCAACTTTCTGAGGATGCATGCAAAATGTGACACTTTGTGAAGATGAGTTATAGCCTGTGGCTTTAAGCAAAATGTTTGTGTTTGCACTCTTCTTTGAACATTTTGGAGACAACATGTTATTTTGAATAAAAGATTTTTCTAGATCCCCTAAAAATGCTTGGCCTCTATTGAATCCCTGGGGCCCTGTGTGTCACACCCTGCACCTCCCCACCCTCACTGCCCCCCACTAGTACCCCACTTACCCCGTTCCAGCCACCTCACTCTTCCTCAAATGCACCAGGCACAGTACCACCTCAGGGCCTTTGCACGGGCTGTGCCCGCTGCCTAGGCTGCTTTCCCCCTAGCTACCGTCATGGCTCCCTCCTTCACCTCTTTCAAAATGAGACCTTTGCTGACCACTCTTTAAAAATTTCAAACCATTTGCACTCACACTCCAACCCCTTATCCTGCTGTAGTTTGTATTTTGTTCTTTTATAAACAAATATATAATTTACTTATAACCTGTCTCCCAACATAGCTTGGTCTCGCAGGACCTGACACACAGTAGGCACTTAATAATAAATGTGCACAAAATAGCATCTGAATAGCTTTACATGACACTGAGGTTGAGGGAGTGGGGAGGTCCTTCCCAGCATATTCTCAGGTCTGTGTCTCTCCCTCGTGGCCAATCCCAGAATTGCAGCCTGGTACCCCCAACCATCCCCCAGCCCCAAACCGTCCAATACTCACGGAGGCCAGAGGCCACAGGGGTCCTGTCAGTGGTGGCTGAGGGCCTGAAGGACGGCTCCATTCCGAGGCTGGAGGAAGTGGGGCTCCAATGCAGGGTCAAGGAAGTGGAAATCAGGGGGCTGGAGTGGGAGGTGGGGGAGCCAGAGCTGGGGTGGGTGGTTATCTCTGGTTGTGTGGAGCTGGGGCTGGGCTGGATGGTGGGGGTTGTCCCTGAATTTGAGGGGCTGTGGGGGGTCATGGAGCCTGTCTCTGAACTAGCGGTGCTGGGGAGGAGGCTGGAGCCCTGCTCTGAGCCGGCGGTGCTGGGAGGGAGGCTGGAGCCCAGCCCTGAACTAGCAGCGCTGGGGGGGAGGCTGGAGCCCGGCTCTGAGCCGGTGGTGGAACTAGTGGCGCTGGCAGGGAGGCTGGAGCCCAGCCCTGAACTAGCGGCGCTGGGGGGGAGGCTGGAGCCCGGCTCTGAACTCAGGGAGCTGTGGCTGGAGGAAGAAGTCAGCGGTTTGGAAGTTGGGCTCTCCGTCTCGCTCTTCGAGGCTGTCGAAAAACCTGTAACATCTGGAAAGAAAACATCACTGAGGGTCCAGGGAGCAGATGACTAGGAACAAGGGTGAGCAGCCCCAGCCACTCTCTGGATGCCTCTCCCTGTGACCCCAGATAGTAAAAGCCTGCCCCTTAGGGAGACTGGGAGGATTTAGCACCCCATGAGCGCTCATGGGGAAACTCCGTTGTCACCCTCGACTCCTTGTCGGAAGTCCCACAGCCAGGGGTCCAGGCCAGTCAGTCCCTCCCAGCCCCCACTCTTGCTTCGGGGATCTAGAAGCCCTCTGGGTTGGGAATGGCTGCAACCCAGGCAGCAGCTTCACAACTCTTTTAAACCTTCTGGGACTCAGTTTCTTTGCCTGTCCACTGGATATCAGCAGCAGTGAGCGCTCTGAGAGCTCACAGGCCTGGCCCACAGCAGTGCTCAGCGATGCTCCGCGCACAGACCCGCCTCTGCGCTCCCAGCAAGGAGCTCCCCCAGGTACCTGGGAGGGCCCCACGGTGAAACTCAGTTTTAACGGGAGGCCCGGAGGCCCAAGCTCTGGGAACAGTCAGAGGATTGAGCCTCTGGAAACCCGCCCTGCCTCGTTCCAGCCGCTCCCTGGCTCCAGCCCCATCCCTGGCACCGAGCCCAGGGGCCAGGCTGAGGGCGGGTAAATATTTCGTGGGCCACCTCCCACAATTACTTCCTTCCCAGTTCCAGGCCACTGGGCACCTCAGCTGCCTGCAAGTTCATTCATCAACTGCTCCCGGTCCCACCACATCCACTCTGCCCCGGGCAGACCTTTGTGCTTCCTCCCTCACCTCACCCCAGGCAGCAGAAATGCAGAAGTAACACCAGCACTGGCCCCAGGAGGGGACTGGGTCCACATACAGACCCCCATTTCTCTGTCCAGTCTCCCATGCCCTGGAGCAATGACAGATGAGTCTAGAAGGGGCATGGTGCGTGGGCCTGACTTCATCCCCATTTTACAGATGGGGAACTGAGGCTCAGAATGGTAGAGTCTAGCCCAAGGTGACTGGGAAGGTGGGAAGAGGGCCCCTCAAGAACCTCTAAGGAGTCAAGGACTAAGAGGCTGGCGTCCTTGAACTGCTTCCCACCATCATTTGAGGAGGAATCCAGATGATAAGAAGTTTCTGCTGAAATGAAGATGACTCAGGCGCCACACTGGACCCCAAGCCAAGCCAGAATTCTCAGGAGCTGAACTTTTAAAGTGAACTGAGGAAAACTAGTGGGTCTTGAAAGAGGAGGTGGCGGAGGACACAAGCTCTGCCGAGTGCTTGGCACAGTGGGCAGGCGCTCATGAGCTGCTGAAGAGTTGACCAGAAGGTAAAGTGGGGCTGTTTCTAATGCACTGTGCCAGGAGTTTGCTCTGCCCAGTGACTCTTAGACAAGGAGGCTGGCATGAGCCAACTCAACTGGTTCTAATCCGGGCCTGGCACAGGCTGGGAGCCTTGGCTCGCCTAAGCCTCAGTTTCCTGAGCTACGAAATGGGGATAAATGTGGTGCATTCTGAGTGAAGCCCTTCCCTGCAATAAGTGTCTCATGCGTGGTGGCCTCAGCTCTGATATTACAGGTCTGGGGCTGGGACACGGGTCAGAGAGAGCGATGCCTTGGCAGAAGGGGGAGAGGATGCAAGAAGTTCGACTCTTCACCCTAGGAACCGTCTTGCAGGCAGCAGAAGGAAATTACATCAGGGGCCAAGAACTCCTCCCGGGAGCCACAGATGCTCAGTGACCAGGCAGGGCGCTCTCGCCCCACCTTGTGGTGCTGGGGTCCTCACCCTTCTCCCTTCGTGGGCTGGCTAAGAGAAACTGAGGTTCAAAACGGACCCTCCAGCTGGGTACGGGGCAGCCACTAGCCTCTGACTCTCAGGGCACTCTGGGGCCACAGAGCCGGCAGCCCTGGGGCTGGGCTGGGGTGCTCCGGCTGTCCTCCCCGCCTCCCTACCTGGCTTCTGGGAGAAGCCGCAGCCCTGGGGGGGGGGTGCGGAGACCAGCGTGGTGGGGGGTCCAGGTGCCAAGTGAGGCCCCGCCAGCTGCCCAGAAGCCTCCTGCTTACCTGCTCCACCTGGAGATGGCAGGGAGGCACAGAAACTTCCAGCAGGTTTCAGCAGCAGCACCAGACTCAGTAGAGAAGAAGCGGCGGCGGCAGCTGAGGACTGGCCATTCCTGCGCCGGCCGCGGAGGGCGAAGGGCTGGCTCTGCACAGGTGTGTGGCCAGGCGCCAGCTGTTTACACCTGCGCGCACGCCCCCTGCTGGCGGCGCGGGGCTGCGCAGGGGCGAGATGGAGGCGAGGCCTCAGGGCAGGGGCCTCTGGGGGCGCTACTGTTCGCCAGAGGTGCCATTCCGACCCCCCTCCACCTAAACCCCCATCTCTCCTAAAAACCCCGCCTGGACCACGACCCTGAAGCCCTCAAACTCTGCCCCTCCCCTCAGGACACCCCTGCCCCTTCCAGTGCCCCGTCCTCCCTGCAGCCCCCACTGCTCCTGGCCGCTCTGTAGCTGCCCCTTACCCATGCCAGTCACCCACTCTGTCGCTCCTCTGGCCAGGCTGCCCCCCTGGGTGCCCCCAGCCTCCTCCCTCCTTCACTGCCCTGTCCCTGACCCCACGGGCTGGGGATGTCTGTGTCTGGCCCTCTCTCACCCACACTGGGGCTCCTTGGGGGTGGACCCAGCTTCCCCCCCAATCGAGACATGGCTGGAGCCCCCTAGCATTTCCTGAACGAGGCACCCGTGCATGCACCTGTAGGATTTGCTAGGGCCAAGGGACTCATGGAGGCCATTCTGGGCCAGGTTGCCAGACGCTGGCTTCTGGAAGCCATGGGACGCCATCCTGCTAGCCGTGGATGGATACGGTGGCACACGTGAGGCCACGCTGGTGGCCCCTGACCTCCGGGAAGGTCTTGGTGTCCCCGTCACAGACCCCGGGTACCAACTGTGTGGTTGGAGGCTTTGGGAGGCCCCTCCCATCCAGGACGTTCCAGATACTCCCAATACCGCCCCCCCACGCCCATGACGCCCCCATGAGCACAGGTGGACCAAGACCCAGGCTGCGCAGGGCTTTATTCATTAGATCCAGAGAGCCACACGGCCCCTCCCGGAGGTCCCCGCACCGGGCAGCCACGGTCCTAGACGCCTGGCCACTGCATGTGCTGCGGGTCATCCCAGGCCGCTGGCCCCAGGAGTGCGTCTGTGGTGAGGTAAGACCGGGCGTGGTGGCCGCGCCAGGTGGCTTGAAGCATCTTCGCTGCTCCCTGCTGCTGCCTCAGCCGGCGGCGGATAAGGAAGCCCCTCCAGGCGGACTGGATGGTCGTGGCCGCCTTGTTCTGGAGGTGGGACCGCTGGAGGCTCTGGGAGGTCAGCTGCGCGCCACAGCCCCACGGCACGCCTGCCTGGCCTGAGGAGCCCTGGCCCGTGCCGTGCACCACCCGTGTGGGCAAGGTTTGGCCGCACATGTGACAGGTGCGGGGGCTGGAACCCACGAGCATCACCACGCTGGGTGGGCTCCCCAGTCCCGGGCTCAGTGACTGGCAGAGGGCGCAGACGTGAGGCTGGCAGGACTGGAAACAGCGGTGGTCAGACATGGTCCTGGCCCCACTGCCCATCTCGGCCCACGTACCCGGTTGCAGCGTTGGCTGGGCGCGGCTCCGGCGGGTGCAGAAGCCTCGCCACATGGCCTGGATGACGGTGGCCGCTCTGGAGATCCGGGCCAGCTCACGCCGCACACGGTAGCCACGCCAGGCGGCCTGGATGATGATGGCCCACTGGTGCCACACCTTGACGGTACGGCGCACCAGGTAGCCGCGCACGCACGCCTGGATCGTGACCACGGCCTGGATGATTATCTTCTCCACGTCCTGCATCGACACCACCAGCTCCCCCGACCGTCTGGGGTCCGCTGCCACCCGGCCGCCCGTGGCGTCCCACGGCACGGCGGCCCTGGCCAGCTCCCATGCGCCACCAGGGGCCGTGGTGCTTTTTGTGGGCCCGACTGCTACAGTGGGGACAGCAGAGTTCCATGCTTGGCCACCAGCCACGCCAGCGTCCGTGGGGCCCTGGAGTACAGGGGGAGTCAGGGACGCCCTGTGACTGTCTCCAGGGGCCACGGCGCTGAGGAAATCCCGAGCCCCTGGAAGCCCCTCCTGGTTAAAAAGGGGCCGCCAGGAGCCACTCGGGGAAGACTCGTAGCCCAGAGACACCCTCCGAACCCCCGGGGGCGGCCGAGGGATGGCCATGTCATGTGCCGCCTCGCCGGTGCGGAGGATCGGCGTTAGGGCCAGCGGAGCACCCAGGCACCGTTCGGGCCCTTCCTGTGAGGACCTGCGGGCGTGCTCCCGCACCTGGGGGAAAGGCACAATCTTGGCCAAAGAGCCGTCCAGCATTTCTGAGACGAGGCTACCATGCACAGACCTGTAGGATTTTCTTGGGCCAAGGGACTTGTGGTGGCTGCTCTGAGCCAGGTCCCCAGACACTGGCTTCTGGAGTGTGCTGGGGACGGCTTCCATCTGGAGCCCACCAGATGCCGCCCCGCTAGCCATGGATGGATATGGCAGCACACCTGGGGCCATGCCGAAGGCCCTTGACCTCCTGGGAGTGCTCGGGGTCCCCATCCTGGCCACAGACTGTGGGTGCAAACTGGATGCCACAGAACTGCCACGGGCCAGCTTGGGTGACCCTGAGACTGTGGGGGAAGCCCCCATCCTGTGGGAATGGCTCCGGGGCACAACATGAGCCACTGAGGCCTGCCGATGAGCCCAGGGGGCCCCGGCACCCTTGACAGACCCCGTCTGCACACTGGGCACCCTGCCAGCAGCGACAGAATGGGAACTGGGGGCCCCCTGGCTGATTGCTGACCCCTGCTGCAGAGTCGGGGTGACACTGCCAGCTATGGAGTGCTTGGCAAAACTCGAGGGCTGGGGAGGGACAGGGGCTGTGCCACTGGTCATAGACTCGGCTTTGCTGGGGGCCACCTCCTCCAACAGCAGCCTTTGGCCTTTGGGAAGAGTCCCATCCTCTACCAGAAATTCATGGCCATAGTCGATGTCAGTTGCCAGGGGACTATGGTGCATCCACGGGGTGTCCTCGAGGACCACGGACTCCTCACTGGGCACAGACACCTGGGCCAGAGCTTTGTGCAGGCCCTCTGGCTTCATCGTGGCCTGGCTGGCTGTGGTCTCAGACAGCACCATCCCTGGAGCCTGGCTCAACTGTGAGGCTCTTCGCAGGACCATGGGCACCGGGTGCCTTCCCTTGGCTGTACCACCCGCCTCCGAGGCCTGGGGATTAACTGGAGCCCAGCCGGCGGTGCGGGGTGCCTGGAAGGGGCCTGTGCCCTCCCCAGCCAGGGCCCCGTGGTATGGCCGGGGGGTGATCCCCACGAGCATGGAGCCCTGGAGATGGCTTTGGGCTATGCTTCCAACAGTGGAGGGCAGACCAGCTGTGCTAGCCGCGGACCCCAGAGCCAGGCCCTTATTCAGTCCCCCTGCCATGGGTGCTGGGACCACACTGGAGGCCACAGAACCAGAAGAGACACTTGGGCCCACCCCACTTGCCTCACAATCTAGGGGCAGGCTTGGAGGAGTTAGACTGGCTGAGGGTCTTATGGGGAGACTTCGCCCCTGCTCACCAGCCCCAGGTGCTGCAATGAGACTAGGGGAGACCCCCCCCGCCAGAGAACCCAGAGGCAGGGTCCTGACCATGCCACGGGCCATAGACCCTGGAGGAAGGCCCTGGCCCACACCACTGATCATGGACTCTGGAGGAAGGGTCTGAGCCACACCATTGACCGTATAAGCTGGTGGAACGCTGGGGGCCACACCACTGGCCACAGTTCCTAGGGCCACAGCTGTGGTCATCCTACCAGCTATAGAACATGGCACCAGACCAGTGGCCGTGCCCATCACAGGCTCCCAGCTGAAAGCACTGACTTGTCGGTAACCAGACGCAGCGACTGCGGAAACAGGAAGACCCTGGAGGTCCAAAGATGTTGGAAGATCAACACAGACCTGAGACATGCTGGGGCCCACACTGGCCAGGGACGTGGGTGGATTCATACCCAGTCCAGGGGGCACTGAAGCCCAAGAGAAGCCAGCGCCTACCTCTGGGGCTTGTTCATGACCCAAAGGGGCATCTGCCACAGAGGCCAGGGCTGCAATGGGAGCCATGCCATCGGCCACTGGAGATTGGTTTGGGCCCATTCCAGTGGTCACACTTCTCTGGCACATACTCCCTGTCAGGCCAGGAGACATAGGTCCCTGAGACATGCTTAGGAACATGCCCACAGCCACGGCGCCCTGAGGCATGCAGGTAGCCACATCCCTGAACAGAACCCCCTGAGACACACTGCTTGCCCGGCCCAGACACAAGTCCTCTCCACGGACCACACACGCTTGGTAGGGAATTGGGGCGGAAAGAGTGACAGCAGAATGTTCAGTTACACCCGGGCACCTCCCGCCAACACCAAGGGGCTCATGGAAGCCCAGAGACACCTCGTGGAGCTCAGGGGCCTGGGGGTGTGGGGCTTCCTCACTCATCGTCAGAGGATCTCGACACGGGCGCAGCCCAGGGGCCTCAGAGGGCTGGCCCAGACCCTGGTCCATGCTGCCAGTCACACAGGGGTTCGGTGCACTCAAGGGGACTTCAGTCATAAAGGATGGGTGACACAGGCTAGGGGCCGCTGCGTTCACCCCTGATGACGGTGGATTTGAACCCACCCCAGGGGCGCAGCTTGGCTGACTGAGTGCACGACGCTTACCACTGATCACAGAGGGCTGGGGTCGGCTGGAGGCCAATACAGTGGCCACCGATGGCTGGGCCAGGCTGGGGGCCACCCCACCGGTCATAGATGCCTGGACTAGTCTGGGGGCTACTCTACTGGTCATAGACGATTGGGCTAGTCTGGGGGCTACC